ACAAGGATATGGACAAGAATATCCTACCTTTTGGATATCAAACCTGGTTTAGCTTTCCGTTCTCCTAGCCTCCGCTTTCCTTCGAGGCTCCAATTCTAATCGTGCCACTAACTTTCCCATCAAAATCAACAATTTAGAGTTTGATATTTCTCACCAAACATTCTTGTTTAATTAGATGCAATTGTATCATATTAGTGTGCCATAGTTCAAAATCAATGTTCATAAACAATTCTTAATTCAAATCATGATTCTTTGACAATGAAGATTTATTCCGGAGAATCGAAGGGAAAATAAGGATTCATGTGGCTAATCCACTCATTTTGAGTTCTCAAATGAGGTTAGGTCAATCCCACCTCAAGTTTCGGGGTCAAAACATGGTTTTTTGGGCTGTTTAGGGTCGGTTTCAGTGGGAACCGGTCGACCGGTGACAGAGGAGTGTAACTCTACCAGTCAACCGGTGGAGAGGTGACCGGTCGACCGGATCGGTCGACCTATGGAAGGGTGACCGGTCGACCGGACCGGTCAACCGGTGGGGAAAAATTCCAGGCCAACAATGGCCGATTCGCGAGGAACAAAGCCAAAACTTGCAATTTTGGGTCCGATTTTGACATATTCTCAAGGAAAATGTATAGATCCAGTTTGAAATCAACAAATGGGGTCCAAAGAATCGAAAACCCCCAATTTTCATCAAGGTTTCACCAAATCCCATTCGAATTCCATTCGAAAACAAAATTTAAACCAAAAATCACCAAACTCGACTAAAACGAGTTCCACAAAGCTGAATCTGAAAATCTAAAGTAAGTTTCAAAGAGTTTTACCTCGATCCAAGCTTTGATGTTGAAAATCTCTTAGAAATCTCTGTTTTTCTTCAAATCCGTTTCAAGAACGTTCTTGAGAGAGAGGGAAAACTTGAAAGAAAGAGAGAGGAAGGGATGGGTGAGAGAGAGAGAGAGCTCGGTGAGGGAGAGAGGGAGAGACTAAGAGAGAGTGTGAGTGAGTGAGAGGGTTACGGGAGAGGAGGGAAAAAAAAAGAAAGAAAGAAGGAAAAGAAAAGAAGAAAAGGGAAAATAAAATGAGGAAATGAAATAATAAAGAAAGACAAATAAAAGTAAAGAGGGGTGAAACTGCAATTACCAAAAATAAATTTAAAAGTTCATGATTAATTAAGAAATCAATTTAGGCACACTAATAAACTACAATTATCATAATTAAACAAGTTTAATTCCGGAGGGCGTTACAACTTTTGTGACATGAATGATCAGTATGATGTGATGATTGCCTCTTTTATTTAAATAGTATACTCCTATGACATGACCATAATTGCATTTCACCTTAATAAGAGGCTGAGGTAATGAAGACGAGTTAAGTGCCGTATCACTCCACAAAGAGTTAAAAAGAGATTAAGAAGGATCGTAGACACCATCAACGGCGAAGGAGGAGGCGAGATGAGAGATGGATTAAGTGGAGGAGGAAGGGGAGAGGTCATGGCGAGACTCGTAGAAGGGGTTGAACTTGACGGAGTAGCCGTTGAATCGGGTGAACTTGACAATGATATGCTTGATTAGACTCTGAGGATTTTTTGATTCATTGATTCTTTTCAGCTATGATTTGATGCTCGTTCTCAAATCAATCTAATGCTTTTGATTTGAATTTCTCTCTCTCGTCTCTAATCGAATTGTTGGCTTAATCATCTTAGAATTTGGTTTGGTGGGTAAAAATTATTGTATTAGTTTTTGGGATAAAGAGCCCGTTTGACATTGCTTTCAAAGGTTGCTTTTAGCTTTTAAAGAAGTTACACCAGGTTAGGGTGTTTGAAAAATCATGCTTTTGTCCAGTAACTTTTAAAAGGTACTGTCAAACAATAGAATTTGAGAAGCATGTCAGCAATTACTTAACCTTAATAATAATACTTAATTCTCAATATACCTATTTCACTTTTTCATACCAAATTAAAAAATATTTTTAAAATAATTATTTAAAAATTAAAAATCTTTAATAAGTATGCTCTGCTAAATTTTATTCAAATACTTTTAATAATTATCAAAATATTTAAAAATAACAATAATAAATATAAGTAGATGAATTATTTTTTTTCTTTTAATAAAAAATTTTATTTTTAAGAACTATTTTAATTAATAAAATTTTGAATATATTTTTATATATTATGAATATTGACCATAAAAATATAAATAAAACTAACTATAAACATGTGTGATAAAATATGTCTAGTTTCGTCATTATACATTTCAATAGTAATTTTATGCACACTTTACTAAACAATAAAATTTTTCCTTCTAGTTCTTACAACAACTTTATAAAAATATTTACTAAACACCTATAAGCTTTTGCTAACAATAACTTATTACTAACATCACAATAATAATGAAAGTTTTCAACAGCACAACAATCTCAAACTGGCCCAAAATCATTTTGCTACCTTGTGTTATATCGAAATATGCTCTTGGTACTATATATTTTTAATAACATTAAAATTGTATCTTGATGTTTTTAAAAATATCTTCTCAGTATCTTAAAGTTGATCTTTGAAATGTGTAATGTCCAAACTACCCATATTGTTAATTAAATAGAAATCAATATTTAAAAAAAATCTAAAAACAATTAAAGTATTCAAAATATTTTAAAGAAAACAGCAAAATAAAAAGTTAATGATTTTTTTTCTAAATTTATTAATTTTTTTGTTAATTAAATAAAAAAGGTACTAAGGTCATTTTACGTCTCAAGAATCAACTTTAGGGTATCAAGAAGATTTTTTTAAAAAATATTGAGGTACTGTTTTAATATTATCAAAAATACATTGTACCAAAAGTGTGTTTCACTATAAGACATGGTAACAAAATGATTTTATCCCTTATTTTTATTAAAAACAAGCAACTAAATATTTACCAATTTTTTGTGTCAAAAAACTAATCACCGATCTTCCTTCACGAAATACAGTGGCGATTTTTCAATTTTGTCTTTATTTTTTTAAAATTTTTTATTTGCATTTACAAAACACAACACAAGGAATGAGGTCATACCTGAACCTTAGGAGTATATTTGGTAGGAAGGAGGGAGAGACGGAAAAAGAGAAAGGAGTGAAAAGAGAGGGTAAATTTCTTATTTGGTAAGAAGGAGAAGAGGAGGGAGAGGAGAGATGGAGAGAGAGACTCTCCCTTCAGGATGGAAGGATTCAACCAATCTACTAAAAATTAAAATAAAATGACCTTTTTACACTTCAAAAGTAATTCTTAACACATAGTAAAATAGGCAATTTAGTAATTAAATAAAAAACTACCACCTATCCTTTCAACTTCCTCTTTCTCTTACTAAATAACATAAAAGATTATTGGGCGCGTTTAGAACTCGTTCTAAAATAATTTTATTTTTTGTATAAAAATAAAAATGAAAATGTTTTCAATCTTAGACATAAATTATTTTTGAAAATGCGTTTAGCAGTTTTATCAAGAGATTGTTTTCAGTATAAAAAACTCATTAATGTCTCTATCTCTTTCTCTCTACTTGAGAGAGGAGAAAACGAAAATAAAAAATGAAAAAGACTAAAAGTTATTTTTCATTTCTCTCTCATTTTATACTAAACAAAAAAATCATTTTCATTTTTGTTTTTTTATCTTTATTGCGTCAAAATGACGTTTTAAAAATATTTTTTTTTTCTTTATAAAAAAATATAAAAAATAAAAATAAAATTAATTTTAAACACGGCCATTATAATCTTCTCTATTTTTTTATATTTTTCATCCCTCCAATCCTTTGTATTCTTCCTCCTCTCCATCTATCCTACTGAATGAAAACTAGACTTTTGGGAACGATGAACAGCTGGGCAACAATCAATTGTGAAGCACTAGGAGGGTGACGCGTGGGGCGTGGGAGGGCTAATTCTCCGTTTTTTTCGGTTTTTTTGCTTGAATTTTTTTCCTCAATTTTATAATTTTTAAGTATTATTTAGTTTATTGTATTCTTCCTCCTCTCCATCTATCCTACTGAATGAAAACTAGACTTTTGGGAACGATGAACAGCTGGGCAACAATCAATTGTGAAGCACTAGGAGGGTGACGCGTGGGGCGTGGGAGGGCTAATTCTCCGTTTTTTTCGGTTTTTTTGCTTGAATTTTTTTCCTCAATTTTATAATTTTTAAGTATTATTTAGTTTATTTTTTCTTCTGAGGGATATTTTTGTCATTTATTAAAAAATCAAGGTATATATTAGCCTATTAAATTTAATGTGAAGGTATATATTCGATAAAAAATTAAAAATATATTTATAGAATAAGTTTAAAACGCAGGGTATAAAAATGTAAACAAATCAAGTTTTTTTTTTTTACTTTATAAGTAAATAAAGTTTTTTTAACTGTAAGATTACTTTTTTAATGGTCAAATATGCAATTAGAAATAGTTTTATATCGCGCGTTTTAAATTTTTAACATGAACTTTCATGAATGTGTTTGTCACTCTTTTATGATTAAAAAAAAAGTTGCTTATGCTATCCTTTATAGTATGTTTGGTAGGGTAGAAAAGAGAGAGTAAAGAAAATAAAGAAAATATTTTAGAGAAAAAAATAAAATTTTAAGTTGTTTGGTAGAGACGAGGAAAGAAGACCAAAATTCTCTCAACTTACAAAAAAAAGAAGGGAAAAAGTTTGAGAGACAAATGAAGTGTAAAATAATAATTTTAATTTTTACTATTCATCATTTTTTAAAATATTATTATAAAATATTTTAAATTTAATATTTTATTTTTATTTTTCTTTCTCTTCTACTAATATAACATGAAGAGAAAAAATTTTAATTCTACTATTTTACTTTCTTCACTTAAATATTTTATTTTTCCTTCCTTCCTTTTTTTCTTTCATTCATACCAAACATAACATTAACGAGAAAGTGACATGCATCGGTCTTGTGTAGTATGCAAGGGGAGGGGATGGGTCTCATAAACACAACTTGTGTGGGCTAAGACATGACACGCCATACTCATTCACAAGATCACCAGAACACCGGAAAATCACAACCAACAACCAAAAATCATTTCTCTTATGTTATCCATCACCAATTAAAAAATAATAACAAAAAAGAAAATACCCACTTCTTCTTCTTCTATTTTCTTCCTTCCTTACTCTCTTCCACATTCCCTCCAAACAAAATGCCATTATTTACTGCAACGCCCGCTCTTGTTTCACTCCCGCCCCACCTCTCTTTCCTCTCACAGCTCTTGACCAGCTCCGATTCTTCCTCCGTTACCCATTGTTTCTCAGTTTCTGCTCTCTTGATTCCTCATTCTTCTTCTTCTTCTTCTTCTTCTTGTCTGTCAAAGAGTTATTCAAAGAAATCGCGTGGCCGGAGACAATCGAGATCGCCAGTCTGCGCTGCCAGCGACGTCTCCAAGACTGAACCTGCTCTTCTAGAATCTCCTGCCTCGACGGAGGCCATTAGACAAGCTCGGGTGAGTTTGACATTTATTTTATTTTAGTTTATGGTGTTGGTGCAGTTGAAAAGATTCATTGAGTATCTTTGAGTTATTGGAAATTGGGAAATAGACTTGGGTTATGTGTTATACTTGTTTTTGTGGTGTAGTTGGACAAGAATGAGAAAAAAAAAAGAAAAAAAAAAGTTGAAAGTGTTGAAATATGAAGATTTTTTATTGTTAATTCATAGATAGTTGACCGAATTAGTGCCAGAACTACTGTGCAGGCAACTTATCATGTGTTAGGACTATGCCGATTGCCGGCAATTTATCACGCATTGGATGATAGAAAATCAATATGGGTTGTAAAGATTTGAGCTACTTTTACCAGGTGGACCCAACAACAAAACATTTCAATAGCCTAGATTTTTTCTTTTGACTATCATCAACGTCTGAAAAAGCATTGTATCAATAGTTTGATTATATTTTTCTAGAATTGAAAATTTCATTCCCAATTTTTTATATTGAGCATTTTAGTTCCACACCTAAATTCTGAACACATTATGAGTATTTCGTTTTTAAATGCTTTGGAGCTGTTTCACAAATCTCATTTCTCCCAAAAAAACTACAATTAGTGGGAAGTATGTATCTTTATTTGTTCTTTGAATCAACACTTTGCCAATAAGACATCCCAAACATTGTCTTTTAATTTCAGTTTTCAATGCTTAATTGAAGCTATTTCATGGCTAGAATAAAGTGTGTTGTGAGTTAAGTTTTTCATTGTCCTACGGTTAGTCCGAGTTCCTTCTGTTAGTCTGAGTTCCTTCTGTTAGTCTGAGTTCCTTCTGTTAGTCTGAGTTCATTTACTTATATACAATTGGAACTAAATTCTGTTGACAGTTATAAAGTTTGTTGCGCTAATACTTGGTTTCTGCTAAGAAGTAGAGGTCTGCTGATTGGAAGGCAGCAAGGACTTACAATGAGGGTGGATTCATATATGAAGGCAGGATTGAAGGGTTTAATGGTGGAGGATTGCTGATTCGTTTTCGTTCTTTGGTTGGTTTTCTCCCGTTTCCACAGTTGAGCCCTTCACATTTTTGTACAGGTGTAACTTATTTTCTCATTATCTTTTCGTGTAAATTTTTCTGACTGCTTTATAACGTTCTTCATTCTATATCTTGTTTACATTCAAAAAGAAAGGTTTGATATAAACTACGAAGGATACAAAAATCTTCTTTCTTTCCTTTATTAATTTTTTGGTTCAGGATATAATTTCAATGTACCAAAGGTATATTTTGGCTGTGGTTGTACATTCACTTTTAACAGATGCAAGTAACATTGAGCATGAATTGTCATATAGAATCAGGAAACTTATCATCTTTATCACTCTGGAAAGGCTTTCAATCTTTTCTATATTGCATTTTCCTTATTTTTGCTTCTAGAGTTTTAGAGCCTTCCATTTTGTTTTGTAGTTTCCATCATAGTTCTCTTGTTTTGTATGTTATTTGACAATTTTTAGTGTTTCAGGAGGAGCCACCAAGTACCTGTCAAACATAGTTTGTGATTGTGTTTGGTGTTCCATAGTTTGTGTTTATGCATTTGGTGTTCCTCCTAGATTCTGCGTTTTCCATTCTTGTACTGCTCATTTTCCGTATCCAATAGCGAGAAATACCGCATGACTAAATAAAACTTTTCTTGAACTTCCTTTATCGTCTTATGTAGAACCACGCAGAGGTCCCCAAGATGTTGCAAAAAGTTTAATTGGTTCACTTATATCAGTGAAGGTAATGAACTTAGTTGCTAGTATTATTTTATTTGATTCATTCAATAGTAAAACTTCCGAAATTAACAGTTAAACCTGGTGAATAACAAAGACATTAATTTGGATCCTGTAACTACTTACTTTTGCAGTGCAATTTATGGAATAAGTTTTAGATTTTTGCATAAAGAATGTTTTTCCGTTCCTACATTATAATTCTTGGACATTTTCAGGTGATCCAAGCAGATGAGGAGAAAAGGAAGCTGATATTCTCTGAAAAGGAAGCGGAATGGTCAAAGTTTTCTGAACAAGTTAAAGTAGGGGATATTTTTGAAGGGAAAGTGGGTTCTGTGGAGGACTACGGTGCATTTGTTCATTTACAATTTTCTGATGGTATTCTTTCGCCTATTGTATAATACTCAGGTACATTATGTTTGAAAATCACACAACTCATAGTTTCCATCCAATGATTCTGAAACAGATCTTTATCATCTCACTGGACTAGTACATGTTTCGGAGGTTTCATGGGATCTTGTGCAGGATGTAAGAGACATTCTGACCGAGGGCAATGATATAAGGGTCAAAGTTCTTACTGTTGATAGGTAAGCTTAGATTATGTTCAAATATTCTAACTTTGTCCTTCGGTTGACTACTGAAAAATCCATAGCAGGAGTGCGCTTAGGACTAAATTAGGCATACTATTCGATAACCTATAATCACCAGCAAAAAAGGAATTGAATGCTGAATCCCAATTGTCATATCTTACCACTCTAGATATATAACAAACCCTATAACCATTACTTGTATTGATTCATTATATGCATATTTCTAAGATTATCAGATTAGCTAATTTTTAGTCTGATATAACCATTCATAGTTTTTGTTATGTTGTATGTTTAGAATAGTACCAAAGCATTTACTAAGTCTCATATTTAGTTGTAGATGAATTTAGCTAAGAAAGTACTGGTTTTAAACCTTAATCAGGGAACCGATATTTTTTTACTTTCCTGACATTAAGTACAAGATAATCGTTCAACTGTCTTTTTTTTCGTCTTTTTTGGGTTTGTTTATTGTATATCTGACTCGATTAATTAACGTTTTCTTTTTCATGCCTGAATGATCTGTCAGCAATAGTTTGCCATCATCCATATTATTACCTAATGTTCTTATTTTTAAGATTTGTACATAAGCCCATATCTTTCCCTTTAGTCCATCTTGTCTTTCCTTTTATATTTTGACCTATCACAATCCTTACGCTCATCCTACCCTTTTAGTGCTTGCCTCCTTGTGATGAAAAGTTTATATTTTTTGAAAGGATTAACCTCTCAAAACTTTTTGAGGGGGAGGGAGAGGGAAAGAACAAAGCCTACTCTACAAAAAAGGAGCCCTGCTCTTAACAATATCAACAATAGAAAGCTCCTAAACTCTTTGCCCTATGGATACAAGGGGCTGCCTAACATTTCACTCTATCCCAGATAACATTACTGAGGCCATGTTATCAGTTAAAAGCCAATTCTGCAATCAATTGTTGCCTTGTCAACCACTGAGGCGCAATGCATCGCAGCAACATAAGCAGTCTGGCTTCGGGGTTTGTTTGGCAAGTTGGGATTACCACAGAAGGAAACCACAACCTACTGTAGATGTACCATGAAAGGACCAAACACAGTGCTGTCAGAATGCCCTTCATCAGAGGTTTGGAAGCACAAGGTGTTACCAAAGTTGAGAAGATTGCTTCAACAGATAATTCAACCGACATGTTTACAAAGGCAGTTCCAGTAAACAAGTGTAGACAATATCTAAACTTGGTTATAGTACAGAACATATAGCGCCCCTAGCAAGCGTAATGGGTGAGCAGTAGCTGAAGAACTATGGGTGGTCTTTTATAATCCCAAATGTAATGATTATAAGATAATAGTGGGTTTATAAGCCCTTGGGTTCACTCCCCTTGCAAGCCGGTTTTGCAAGGGTCAATTCTATCTAATAGGATTGTAATACATCCCCTTCCCCAACCTCTTGCTTTACAATCCAATATCGAATTAAATGTTTGGCAGCCCCAAAATAGTTATTTAAATGTAATTGTTTTTCCTGTGTAATAATTATTAAATATCTAGTGCCATACAAAGTTTTGCCAAATCTCGTTGTCTTAACTCTAATATTTCCTTTCCTCTTTTTTGTTTTTTCTTTTTTTTGGGTAGCCCCCTGCTGTTCTGGAAGGGGGAAAAAGGAAACTGTTCACTAACCACATTATAACCGCTTAACTCTGAGATTTACTAATTGTCCTCTTGTGAATTTCACTGCATCTAGAAAATTTTGATCAAGTGTTCTATGCAGGGAGAAGTCAAGGATTACTCTGTCAATCAAACAGTTGGAAGAAGATCCACTTCTAGAAACTTTGGATAAAGTAATACCACAGGTTTGTCATCTGATGTCTTCTCATAACTTGAGTCATATTCTTAATTGCTTGCCTCCACAGAAACATGCAGTATTTATTTTCTTTCTATATTGATGAATTTGACACGTGACAGGAAGACTCAGATAGTTCTGACTCGTTGAGCATTAGCAATGGCAGTAACATCGAGCCTCTTCCAGGACTTGAAACTATATTTGAAGAACTACTACGGGAAGATGGGTATGATTCCAGCATTGCTTTGTCTATGGAGATTGTTCCTGCCTCAAATTTAATTTCTTCATTCTAGTCCAAGAAATCCATCTATGCATAGCCCACTTCTAATGTTGATAGCCATGTTAACACCTATAGATTCTTCACACAAAAATGATGTGAAGTCTTAGTCTAGAACATGCTAAAGAAGCCATCGCGTGAAGTTTAGGACATGGTTCAATTTCAAGAAAGGATGATTTATCTATCAGGTTTGAACTATTTTACAATTGATGTAGAAATGAAATAGGAGAGAATTCATAGAGAAGATTAGAACCAAGATAGCGAATAAGAATTACTAGAGAATATAAATAGAACCACATGACAGAAAAGAAGGGATTTGAGGGAGAGAACAAGGACTCATAGGAGGAACAGATGATCTCAAGAATAGAACCAATATGCATTCTCTGAATTGGAATTACAAACTACCATAATCATAGGGGACCTAAATAACAAAATAGGAAACTAACCCAAAACATAACACGGAAACTTGATAATGGAAAACTACCCTCATGTATAAATCTCCTATTAAATAAAACTAAATATTAAAACTAATTAGTATTATGATCTTTAACAATTCTGCAGACACTAAACTTGTTTACCAAATTTTGAATACCAGTAAATAATCAATTGGTGGGTCTTTTTCTAGCCAGAAAATCTTTTTCATGTTAAGCATGTGCAGTGTCTATTGCTATCCGTGGATGAAATCTCTATTTGAGGTCATAATCTTGTCATAATCAATACAAGCTTTTGCCCTCTCGTACTTTCTGGAGTATTTGGTCATATTTTTGTTTGCTTATAAACGGAACAAAAAAAATCAACTTTTCGAACATTAATTGGGTTGTGACTTGTCACTTGGTTGCTTCATGGAAATTTTCAATGCATGAGAGTTCTTTGGCGCTGAAAGGCCTGATGCTTGATACTTATATTTGATGGCGCAGTATAGATGACGTCAGAATTACTCGCCAAGGATTTGAGAAAAGAGTAGTTTCTCAGGACCTTCAGCTTTGGCTTTCCAACGTGAGTTCCTTTTTGTTCAATACTTTATATTCCTCATAACCTGAACACGCCCTTTCTAATATGAACATCTTCATTCTTCTGCCTTATCACTGCAGGCACCTACTTTGAACCAGAAGTTCACTCTTCTCGCTCGTGCGGGACGACAGGTTAGTTCGAATTAGAAAAACACTAAATATTTCCAGCGGTGATGATCACTATGAGGCTTGAATGAAATTACAAAATTTCAATATATTGGTCCACATTCTCTATGATAGTATGTGATTGCACACAAGATATGTGGCGATCATTCAACGGTGATGAATAGATTACTCTTGTTCTAATATGATATGTTTTGGGGTTCCAGGTGCAAGAAATACAACTGACAACGTCACTCGATCAGGAAGGTATCAAAAAGGCATTGCAGCGCGTATTGGAGCGAGTACCATGACCAGAATCTGCTTTTTGTTCCATTATCCTATGGTTGTATTTTTTTTGTATAGAATTTATATGCGAAATCAAACAATGTCTTTATAAGGTGTACATGAGGTTGGTTGATAATAGGCCAAATTTACCAAAATTCTTTGCTCTCTCTCTCTCTCTTATTTAAAAAAAAAAAAAAAAAACTGAATATGGATCCCTACTCTCGGCTAACTTAGGTCTCGTTTACTTCGTGGATTCGATTTTTTAATTTCAATTGAGATGTAATATTTTCTGAGAGTTTTTAACTGTAGTAAATAAGTTAGATATGATATTTTCTGAGAGCTTTTAACTATAGAAATTTAGAACTGAAAACTCAAATCGGTAAAATAAACGTATTTATAATAAACGTATTTATTGAATGAGAAATGTCTTATTTCATTCCAATTGCAGATACTTACATGATATCAATGCAGAAATATGATATTGCTTGCGCTGGAAGCCAGCTGGACGACAAAGTTGCATGCGCTAAGGTATATTATTAAGAAGTTCTAAGATGCAGAATTATGACGTCAGATAATTTTTCTTTTTTTCATCAATGATAACATTCATGTAATTTTACTGCCCAAAAAGATTCAATAACCTTTAGGAAGAAAGAGAAAAATAGGCTAAGACTTGAGATGAATTAAAATTAATAGGCTAATAGTTTATATAAATTAACAAATATGCTAAATTACTATTTTCGTCCATAACTTGTCTAGTTATGAACCATAACTTGACAAATTATTGTCCATAAATCACGGTTTTTGTCCATAACTTGTCTGAATATGAACCATAACTTGATAAATTTATTCATAACTTAACAAATTATGACATATTAATTTTTATAACTAAAAATTGACCTATATACTTTCTTAAACTTTTTATATAGGTCTATTTTCTACTATTTTCGTAACCTTTATACATAACTATGGTAATTGTTGTAGGGTTAGAACTAATAAATAAGGCCCAAATGCCATGTACGGAGTTACACAGACGAGGCTCCGCACAAGAGAGACGCCAGGCGGGGATTATCTTGGAGATCAATATTTGAATTTCGAATATTTAAACGATGAGATTCAAAAAAAAAAAAAAAAAAGAGATTAAGATAAACGCTATATCCCGTCGAGAATGATTTATCTCTTAACGCAAAGAGGATATCTCTAAGGGGATTGTAAATAGAAAGCTATAAATAGGGGGCTAGGAACCGAGAGATTTCCTTCTGAAGGCTCCATTTTGGCCTGCAGATCACTTAGAGCCCGTTTGGTTAGAGGATTAGTTCTCTGATTCGAATCATGATTCATGGTTCCCTACAGTATTTTTTCTCACAAAAAATACACGTAAATCGAAAATGATTCTAATATCATGGTTCTAATCCATAAACCAAATGGGCTCTTACTCTCTTAGCCTCTCTTACCTGTGCAGATTTAGCCTCGTCCCTCTCCTTGGCAATGGACTGAGAATTAAGCTTTTCCGCCTCAATAAGGGCGTTAGGAGTAGCCTCGATCTAGGTCATCTCCGTGCTTTTTGCCTCAACCTTCATCAGCTCGATGATGTTAAGGAGGAAAAGATCTGGGGGATGATTTGAACGCTCACCGGGCTGAAGCATCACAAGATGCAAATACCACTATAACAACAAGGCCAAGGCTATAATAGAGTGCATGGCGTGTTTAGAAGAGAAGATGGGAAGCGAGGTAGTTGGGATGGAAAAAGATGTGAAAAATCAAGTGACCCATTTGGCGCAAAATTTGGGTCTAGTGGTTGAAATTGTCAATGTCGACATTAAGCCAAAAGAAGTCCATGATCACTTGTTCGTTGCGAAAATTATGACGCTGCCCCTTCCTGATAAATATAGAGTTCCCCCATTTGATAGGCGAGGTGACCCAGATGATCATTTATAGATTTACACCGGTTATATGTTGCTACATGGATATTCAGAGGCAGTCATTTGCCAGCTTTCCAAAACCATTTAACTGACTCGGCCAGCCAATGGTTTAGGACATTGAAACCATACTCAATCTCAAGTTGGGATGAATTAAAGAATTCCTTCTCTCTACAATTTATTAGATTAAAAAAGTACATACCGCCGAAGCAAAACCTTACAATAGGGTACCTAAAGCCTAATGAGCCATTGAAGGATTGGTTGGCAAGGTTCAGTAAAGAACTCACCGCAACCGGGGATGTGATTGATAGGGAAGCCTTAATGGAAGCCCTCAGTAGTATTAGAAAGGGTACTCTATTTAGGAATGATGTCAATCGTAAACCGCCAAGAACTTACAGGGAATTCCTAGGTAGGACTCAAGGTTTCATGAATGCTGAAGAAGGCGATGCAAATGACCCAGAATTGAAGGTGACAAAAAGTAAGAATGCTGCTCAGAATGTTTTGATGGGAACGCAGGACAACCAAAATAGACGAGGCAGCAATGGCAATACCAAGAAAAAATCTTCTAGTGACGAAGCTGAGCCCAAACAGTAGAAGCAAGAAGAGTCATGGAGAGCTCGCCCTTTCCAACAATATGATACTTGTCATGAGTTAACTGTGGGCGTAAAGCAAATTTACAACCAGGTCAGCTGAGGAAATATGTTGCGTCGACTGGAACCAATGAGGTCAGATCCATGCAAGAGGAACAAGAACAAGTATTGCCGGTTCCATGGAGAGGTTGGGCTCAATACCAACGATTGCGTGGACTTGAAGGACGAATAGAAAGGCTTATCCATGAAGGCTGCCTTCAGAAATTCATGGCAGATAGAGGCAACCAAGGGAGAAGGAATGATGATCGCAGACATGACGGAAACCACCGAGACAATGATTAAGAACATATAGGAGTGATAAAGACAATCCTTGGGGGTCCTTGTATCGGCAGATATTCTAGAAGATCTAAAAAGAACTATGCTCATAAAGCAAAATAGGCATGCTAGGAGATTTTGGAATCTGTCAATGTCGAGGCCATCAAAGAGCACAAAGTATGATGGATCTGAGATTATCTTTACAGAGAATATAGAGTCCACTTTCGTCAAAACGACGCCTTGGTGGTCAAGGTGATGATTGAGAATCACTGTATGTAGAATCTTAGTAGATAATAGAAGCTCCGTCGACATCTTATACCTTGACTACCTTAACAAGATGGGTGTTCCAAAGGAATAGATGGAGAAAAGCACAAGGTCCTTGTACGGCTTCACAAGAGATTCAATCATCCCGCAAGGGATGATTAAGCTTCCATATTCTTTAGAGAGAAGCCTCACACCGCCACAGTGATGGAAAATTTCGTGGTGATAAAAGGATGTGATTGGGAGTCTGACCGTTCAAGCTCTGAAAGCAGTTACATCCATCTACTACCAAAAGATAAAATTCTCAACTCCCAACGGCATAGGAGAGCTAAAGTGCAATCAGTACGAGTTGAGGTTGACCTACTCATATGCAATTCACACATATGCCTACCCTAGATGAATAGAGATGATAATGGTAAGCCACAGACCTATCAATGAGGATATAGACCATTGGGTCGAAGAGGAGATAAAGGTGGACGACAAAAAACTGACCCTAGTACTCAAGGTGGGATCGACCCTATGACCGACACTGAAGGTTGAGTTGGGAAAATTCATAAGGGGGAACCTGGTTGTATTTTCCTAGACCCACAATGATATGGAAGGGATCGACTTAGAAGTTATGTGTCATTACTTAAATGTCGATCCATCTTTTCGTCCTAGGAGATATGAGGCATTACAAGAAGAGGTCGACAAGCTGTTAAAGAACGACTTTATTCGGGAATCCAATTATCCCGATTGGATCTCAAACCCAGTGTTGGTAAGGAAGCCGAAGGGAAAGTGTAGAACATACGTCGACTTAAATAAAGCATGTCCAAAGGACAACTTTTCTCTCTCACACATAGATCAGTTGGTCGACACAATAATAGAGCATGAGATGCTGAGCTTCATAGATGCACACTCGGGTTACTATCAAATACCCATGCACCATGGGGATGAGGAGCACACATCATTCATCATAGATAGAGGGCTATACTGCTATGTGGTGATGCCTTTTGGCTTGAAGAATGCAAGAGTAACATATCAAAGGCTCGTCAACAAGATGTTCGTATAATAGATTGAAAAGATTATGTATGTTTATGTTGACGATATGCTAGTGAAAAACATAAAGGCTAAGCAACACGTCGAGTATTTAGGAGAGATGTTTGACATCCTAAGAAGGTATCACATGAAGCTAAACCATCTGAAGTGTGCTTTCAGGGTTAGTCAAGGAAGTTCCTGGGTTTCATGGTGAGGAATAGAGGCATTAAGCAAACCCTGATAAAATAATGGCTCTTTTTAATATGGAGTCTCCTACCAAGCCAAAGGTAGTACTGAAACTAACAAGATGCATCGCCGTCCTAAATAGATTTATTTTCCAAAAGTGCGCACCCTTCTTCAACACGATAAAATGGAACACGCGCTTCAAGTGGACTCCACAGTGTGAAGAAGCATTCTAGAAGCTTAAGGAACATCTTGGAAAGCCTCCCTTGCTATCAAAACCTATTCCAGGAGAAGCGCTCGACCTCTATTTATCTATCTTCGAGCATGCTGTGAGTTTGGTGTTGATCCGTGAGGAAGTAAAGGCTCAGCTATCTGTCTATTACGTGAGTAAGCGCCTCTTCGACTCTGAGACCAAATACCGTAAGATGGGGAAGCTAGCCTTGGCCTTGATGTTGACGTCGAGAAAACTGTCATTATTTACAGGCCCACAAAATAAAGGTACTAACAGATCATCCTCTGATACAGATCTTGCAAAAGCCAGAGACTTCAGGTAGACTTCTAAAATGGTCTGCAGAGCTGAGCCAATTTGACAGTGACTACACGCTAAGAACAACAATCAAGGGAAATGCATTAGCGGATTTTGTCACAGAATTCACTCATAGGCCAACCATGATAAAGAGGCAAGAGGCCTAGAAGCAATGAAAGCTCTACATAGATAGATCAACTAATGAGAATAGGCTCGGAGCTGGAATAATGTTGGTAAGTCTTGAAGGACACAAGGTAACCATAGCTATCTACTTCAAGTTCAAGGCCTCAAACAATGAAGTGAAATATGAGGCCTTGATAGGAGGATTGAGGATGGCATAGGTTCCAAGGTTAGAGAACAGTAATGTCGATGCCTTGACAAAGTTGACTTCGTCTAAAGATTCAGAGCTACTAGGGGCCGTCCCTGTTGAGAAATTGGAATAACCTACTATAGATGAAGACGTGGAGATGGTCATGCTCCATACAAGATGAAGAAACTTGGATGAGGTTAGCATATATGCTCTTAGGAATAAATGTAACAATGATTTTGAGACATTTTGACTATTAATAAAGATTTATTTATTTCATATATCTTTGTATTGCCCTTTTTTACGTTCACATTAGTTGAATGTATGATAAACAAATTAGAAATCTGAGATTGGCCTTCTAAGTCTTTAGATCGTGCATGTAATGAGAAGAACATGCAGAAGACATGAATCTAAAAATGATAGTCTAAATAATATGATCCGCAATCAAGGGAATAAAGTTGGTGCTTTATTCATGTTAAGAATGGTATGTTGTCTACTTCCTAACGAAGACGGCTTGTCATGGTTGTCAGAGGTGTGACTCCATCGGTAGAGACATTGATATGGTTTCTAGTAGTGGAATCTATATTGGATTGAACCAAAGTTGAATTGTTTTAATTAATAATTTTGTTTGAATAAAACAATTCAATTTTGACGAATTATATGTGGTCATCTTAATCCTGAGATGAATAATGAGCCCATATGCTTGACTTATATCCTTTGATGTACCAAAGGGAGACATCTTGACATTATGTAAATGCATGCTTACCGGTACATTACGGGTATGACTCTTGTGTGCGTAGATTTATTATTCATATATAGGGAATCCATAGTTCCTATAAAGAGTCAATGATATCCTCTTATGGATTAGACTACTTTGTGTTATCAAATAGTTTACTATTTGTATTGGTACGAGTAGTAATTTTTTCAATGGAGTGATAATGAAATATAAGATAAATAATCAGGAAGGTAAAACAGAACTTGGCCTCAAATCGATTATAGATATTCTATGAGGATTACACACTAATATAATAGTCATGGATGAGAGTTATTTGAAATTTTGTAAATATACTATATAGATCGAGAGTGTAGCTCTAAACTTTTAATGGAATAACATAAGAGCTTAAAATCATATGATGAACTTGTAAGTTAACAAATACTGTCGATTCTAGGAGACTTGACGATTTTTGACTTTATAACCCCTATTTATATTGCTAATGCCGCCTTGGGTGTTTCCTTAAAGATAATGTCTAATCTTTTGAGATATTTCTCAAAAGATGGTGATATAGGGCCCGTTTAGTTCGCTGATTCGAGTTTTTAATTCGAGTTGAGATGTGATTTTATGTGAGAGCTTTTTACTGTAGCAAAAAAGTTAGATGTGATTGTTTGTGATAGTTTTTTACTGTAGCAAAACTCGAATTCTAAACTCGAATCAACGAAATGAACGGGGCCATAGTCTACTAGTGGGCAGTTTCCTATATGAAATTCATATATTTAAAATACAAATAATGGCTTCTGGAACAATCCTCGCGGATCCTCTCTGCTCCATAGCCTGCCTCGTCCTCTTAATCACACCTTAGAAGTCTCGACACCCTGCTGCCGGATTGATGACGTGGCGTTAGGGCTGAAATGCTTGTGGTCTTTACTGGGCTTCTTAATGACTGTGGAATCTTATTTATTGGGTCTATGTTATATCTCACAACACCAACTATTTTCAAGTGCAATAGGGATGGCATTAATTACCACCCACATTTCAGTTTTAAAAGAAAAATCATCTCTAAGAAAGACACTAAAACAACCACAAACAAACCCCTTTTAACATTCTTAAAAATTCCACCACAAGCAATGGAGCGGCTTCTCTCGCCAAACCATCAGTTTTATTTATTAGACTGAAAATATAGAAAAAAAAAAAAAAAAAAAAATTTGCAGCGCTCATCATGATCTGCAGGGAGATGGTTCCTAAATAGAAGCCACGTTTCATTGCAACGTGTAGCAAGTGGTGACTTTTAACCAGGCTTTCAACACGCGTAACGGTGCATGCAAATTGCAACAAGTTTTTGCCTCGACTTTGTTCTTATACCCACAATTTGGACACTCCGTCTATATAAGCCTAGGATCACCAAAGCTACCAAAGTCTGCCTTCTAATTCGTTTTCACAAAAGATGGCAACTAAAGCCCCAGAAGTCGCCGGTGAGCCGACGCAGACCGGCACCGCCCTCCTCGAGACGGCGACCGCCGCCATCCAAGGTTTTGGCCCCATCAACAAGATCCACCAGCACCTCTGCGCGTATGTACTACGTACTTTCCCCTCAATATATATATTTATACATATATATGTATAGTTTGCTTGTTACTATACAACATGTGTATCTGTTTGACCATGTTAATTTTCTGGGCTTTCTGTACTTTTTTGCATGATTTTGATTCTTGTTGTCACTCCATAAACAGTCAACCAACATATACACCTTATGGTTATAGTTGTAAACTTTCGCTTGATTAATCTAGTACGTACTCGCAATTATTCCGTTTGCCACTCGATCTTATTAATATTGTTAGACAACATATATTCTACAAATCTTTTGGGTTTTTTTTTTTCCCTACCAAAAAAAGAAATCTATTGGGCCTGAGGCCGTGCTTCCTAGTGTGAAATTTAGCGACTTTCCCTGACTTGAGCGGAGAACTTTCTAAGGTGGACAGGTCCATTCGAGGTGCGAGGGAGGTATGATAAACAAAAAAAGGAGGACATATTTAATTAAAACAACACTTAAATTTTGTACGTGGGACGGAATTGCTATATGTCAAAATGAACTTATAAGTGGGATGTACTAATATATTCTCCTCCTTATGGCAGTTATTTTCTTTCATAAATTATAATTTGCAATAACATAATTCTTTTTACGAAATTAACTACTCGATCACCTATATTTCATTTTACTAGGGTCTTGTTCGTTTTGTGTGACATTTTTTTAAGAGTTTTTAACTCTAATAGATATAACATTTTCTGAGGATTTGCTTAGAAAATTTATCTTTCTTGTGTGCAAATTCGCTCCAACCCTTTTTTGTCTTGACTGTTGTACCTCTTTTCTTTTTTATATCTGAAGTTGTACGGTTGTGTTTTAGTTTCCACTTCTACGCCAATGACATGACGCGGCAAGTGGAGGCGCACCACTTCTGCGCGCACCAGAACGAGGACATGCGGCAGTGCCTGATCTACGACAGCCCCGACGCTGACGCCCGCCTCATTGGCATCGAGTACCTCGTGTCGGAGCGGCTGTTCTTGACGCTGCCGGAGTCGGAGATGCCTCTGTGGCACTCCCACGAATACGAGGTTAAGAGCGGCATCCTCTTCATGCCGAGGATCCCCGGCCCCATCGAGCGCCAGGACATGGAGAAGATCGTCAAGACGTACGGCAAGACCTTCCATTTCTGGCAGGTCGACCGCGGCGACGCCCTCCCGCTTGGGCTCCCGCAGCTCATGATGAGCTTCACTAGGAATGGCCAGCTCTATGATCACCTCGGCAAGGGTAACAAATTAAAACATTTTACAAACTAATCACTAGTTTTCTTAATTTATCACTAATTTGACTTTTGTGCTCGTTATTATTCACTTGGTGTCCTTACTTTATTTGTTTTTCTTACATTTTACATCTGGATGACCACTTTGGAAGCGGTGAACATATACGTATGTCATAGAAATTCCATAACTGATTATTACTTTTTCTTGGATATGCTTAATCCCTTGCGCCAATATCTGGATGTTAAATCTTTAGTTTTTTTCTTCTTTTTATTCTGAAAAAAGTTGCTGAATTTTTTGTTTTAAAGCGATTGAAAAAGGGATTTTAAAAATAAAATAAAAATATTTTATCCATTTTGTCACTTAACGTACTAATCTTATCCAATTTTTAGGGGTAAAAGCTAGTGTTTCTCTCTCTTTTTTTTAAGCGTTATGGTACACATTATTTTTTGAGGAACGGAAACACATAATTTTTTATTAGATATAGTAATTTTAAGATCATAATATGATGTGGGGATGCTAATATTGCAGATGCTGAGAAGCGTTTTGGGGTGAAGTTTGAGGAGGAGAGAGAGAAGAGAGCATATATGAAAGGGCCTGACCTTGGAATTCATCCCAAGGCAAATGGAGAAAGAAATGGACAGAAAACGGAGCTTAGGGAGGTTGTTGTCACTAGGAAGCCAATGGCTGCCGAATCTGCCACAAGGGGCTTTGTTTGAGACGACCCCTCTCCTCTCTGATATATTTTATATACATACATATATATTTATATATGTATACATAATATGTACACACTTATTACAAATGTATGTATGTCATATTACTTTGATGACATGTGCCGATGACGTTCGTTTTTGTGTATTTTGGACTTGTCCTTGGGTTTAATATGCTGGTAATTAGTATAATTTCTAGATATGTATGATGATTGTATTATATGTTATATTCAGCCAAAAAAAAAAAAAAAAAAAAGGTATTGCATGTTTTATATATGGTTGTACTGTATACCTATGACAATTAAGTGTGGTACAATATATATAATTGTATATATATCTATATATTGTGCTGTTTAAATATTATATATATGTGTGTGTGCGCGCTTGGATATTCAAAGGTATGTCGTTTTGTTTGGTGACCTACCAAGTGACTACATGAAATAGTGGATTATCTTGCATTTTATTACATCAATACAACGTGTATAAATATGATAAGTTTTTTATCACATGACAAATCGACTAGTACTGATTAGTTTCCTTCCGCAGATGAAGGATTTTGATGAGTAGGACAATAATAATAAAAAAAATCCGCAGATGAAGGACTTTGATGAGTAGGACATTTAAAAAAAAAATTGCTGAACGGGGCATGGCCTTCCATTTTTATTCTTTTATTTTTTTTTTTTTACTAATTAGTTATTTAATTAAAAAGGATGTTAATCAAATATAAATTTTATTCGGACTATTAAGGGGAGGGGTATTTATATAAATTTTATGCAGACTACGCCACGTTAAGGGGAGGGGTATTTGAAAATCACAAGGGTATTTGTTTCCTTTCAAAATCGTTGAAAACCTAATAATATTTAGGCATATTAGTCAGAGTACTATCATTGATCTTTGCACATATATATATAAGAGGAGAAATACTTGGATATTTGTCTATGTTGCATCCTTAAACATTCGTACACCAGGTACAATGACCGAAAGTTACGAAGTTTTATTCTTTTTTTTAAAATTTTTTTTTATATAATATGGAATTAAACACGCAACCTCACTTTAATTCCATTCTGCCCAAAGACCAAACACTCTTAAAGGTATTTTTTTGAGTTTTACACGAAAAGTAAAGTCTCGTTCATTTTACCAATTCAAGTTTTTAGTTCTAAATTTTTACAGTTAAAAGTTCTCAAAAGATGTCACGTCTAATTTTTTTTGTTACAGTTAAAAGCTCTCAGAAAATATCACATCTCAGCTCGAATTGAAAACTCGAATCTGCAAAGCGAATGAGGCCTAAATTATCTTGAGAATATTAGGGCTTATTCTTTTAGAGTGTGACTTAGGTGTAGTTTTTTAGTTGAATTTGAGTTATAACTTGAGTTGAAGTTGTAACTTGAGTTTGTATTTGGTTGTGTACATTTGAGTAATGGTTTGAGATAAGAATCTTTTTTTGAGTTTGTGTTTGAGTGAGTTAAAATTTAAATTTGTATTTAGATAGTATTTTAATAAAAACTCAATGGTGATGAAAAATTTTAATAGGGTATATGGGTGGGGCTTTATTCGTCTTTTCGTTGTCAACGCATAAAAAAAATCATCTCAATCATCATTAAAACGAAAACGTTATAGCATTTTCAGGAATAGAAAAAATACTGTTCATTAATTTGAGTTTGAATTTCTGAACTTGAGTTGAAGGGGACACTTGTGAATCGTTCATTTCACCAATTCGAGTTTTCAATTTTAGGTTTCTACAGTAAAAAGCTCTCAGAAAATATCACATCTAACTTTTTCTGCTACAGTGAAAAGCTCTTAGAAAATGTCACATCTCAACTCAAATTAAAAACTCGAATCCACGAAGTGAACGAGGTCTTGAACTCGAGTTTAGTCTCAAACTCGAGTTCAAACTTAAAAGAACGTGAACTTTAATAAAATTGAAACTCAAATTATCTTTTTTTGAGTTTTTTAGACAGCCGAACACACCATTAATTATTAGAGAATCTTTACAATTAGGCATGTTGTTTTGCTCCACGGTGGAAAAATAAGCTACTGCAAGATAAAAATGTAATACCCACCGATAGAATAAAATATCCTCTACCGTAAAAACACCGTACCAATAAAGACTCCGTAATTATTGGTATGGAAAAGGACGCATTGTTAGATCTCTGTTTCTTTTTTTCCCCATCTTCTTTAAGTTCAATGATATTAAAAGCAGTTGAACAACTAGTCTTCAAATTTTTAGGTCAAAACCACTGTTTGAGACAGTCAAATATGTGTCAGATTTACACATCTGTTTGGACCAGCTGAGTTAGAATTGGTGCAACAATTTCCTGCATGTGAACCTTTTCCTTCATATTTTATCCTTTTTTTTCCCGCTTCCATGTGCACTTCTTCTTTCCCCTTTTTTTTTTTTTTTTTTTTTTTTTTTTTTTTTTTTTTTTTCTCTAATTCATCTTTTTTATTCACATTTTTCGCCGATCGATGTATTGGTTATTTATTTTTTTCAATTTTTATTATTTTCTTTCGTTATCATATGACTTGAAATAATACACTAAATAGGGCGTAAATTAACCATTAAGTACCAAAGAGATATATATGTTCGCATCTTTTATATTATTCTATTTCTACAAAAGAAAAAATCTTAAGCGAGATGAATTAATAGAGAATTATTGGCATTAGTGTAATGAATTCCCGGGGTCTCCCTTTGGTTGAGTCTTAGAATTGTTTTACCTACTAAACTTGGCGACCCTCATTTTAAAAATAGCTTTAAACTAAATACGGTAGTTCACCAATGACACATGGGTGTCACCATGGTAATTAGTTTTGTTCATAAATATTTAAGGGTACGTTTGGTTCATGGATTAGAATTATGAGATTAGAATCATTTTTTATTTACGTGTATTTTTTAAGAGAGAAAACACTGTAGCGAATCACGAACTATGATTCAAATCGAGATACGAATCCTCCAACAAAACAACTCCTTAATCAAATGCGACTCCACTAAGTAATTATGTGTGGTGCAATTATAGTCAGATCACATATGGTGGTTCCTTGAAGAATTAAAACAAGATGGATCAAGGCTCTTTCCCAGACCCCAGTTGGATAATGTGAACTGGCTCTCCAAAAAAAAAAAAAAAAAAAAAAATTAATCTGCTTATAAGATATCTAATGAAACAGTCACTATTATGGGGGAAGGGTAATCAAGTTTCTGAATGGTTTCTAAAGATATGCATGCACGAAGTGATGGATTCAACTAGGGACTAGTGGGGACATGTGCCGGGCCCAACGAGATTGCCTAAATATTTCTAGATAAACCACTCCAAACACCTCTAAGTATTTTGTTAAAATATGACTTTCGCCTCTAATATTATACAAAGGCGTAAAATATCATTTGAGTCTATAAAAACATACCCAAACGTCTTCTAAAGCAATTAAATTTTTGAAAATGTCATGATTATCTTTTCAACCTATATCAATTGTTATTTTAGGTGTGATTTAACTGAAAACTTAATTTAAAAATTTAAAAATGCTTAAATTAATATTCCAATCAAAGAAATACTTTAATTATTTTGAGAGTTTTTTATTTTTAAGATTGATTTTATTTAACATTTTGGTTTGATACTATTTTGAATTCTACTCAATAATGATTGGGAAAGGTAATGCCAATATTTTTTAAAAATTAATTATTTCAGGAGGTATTTTGGGTCTATTTTTATAAACATACCAGGTGTTTTAGATATTTACTAATTAACAGGTGTCTCTATGCAATTGGTCATTTTTTTGACTTCTTTCTTTAGATTTTCTTATTTACTCACACAATAAATACAATCAGAAGCCCTTCAAATAATAATAATAATAATAATAATAATAATAATATTGGAAGGCTATCATTTTCAAAGTAAAACCATGATGTCAGCAATCTACACATATTATCATTTCAATATTTAGTTGTTCCTTTTTCTGCTATAGCTGATAATCCATGATTTCTTTATTTTTCATTTTTCTCTCTTCTTCTTTTTTATTTTTTGTTCTTTATTTACTTTTAACAATTACAACCATGTGTGTCTATTCTATATATAGTAAAAAAGAAAACTATAATTTCTGATGCACTCTCATATCGGTGTTTATTTATTTTAGATGTAATAAATTTTGTCTTTATTTGTGTCTCCACTGAAATCAAATTTTGAATGTCACTAATTCATACATATATATATATATATATATGTATGCATGCATGTATGTTTACTACATCATGCCTTCTTTGCTACAGATTCTTTTAGTTAACTGAGATTGAGTACTTTTTTTCTTCCATGATTTTTTTTTTGTTTCTTTTTCCTTTGATCAGTTTTATGTAGAAGTTTCTATATATTGAGGCTCAATTTTAGGGTTTTAGCATAGGAATAGTAAGGGGATGTTTGGTTGGAGGATTCAAACTATGATTTGAATTATGGTTTAGGTTCGCTACAGTGTTTTCTCTCACAAAAAATACATGTAAATCGAAAATAGTTCTAATCACATGATTCTAATCCATGAACCAAACGTCTCATAAATAAGTTGACCTATTGTGCAACCCTTAAATATTTAGCTCTACTTTGGAGCTACAACTAGTTGTCTTTCCCTTTTGAGTGGTTTGTTGGAATTAACTGAGGGGCTAACATTTTCATTCTCGTATATTCCTTCTTCCTTCTTTAGTAAACTGGAGTGAGTGACTTGGTAAAGGATGAGTCAAGTAGTGAGTATCAAAAACACCCTACTATGATAATACTCTTTTTTTTTTTTTTTTTTTTTGGAAGGAACGATAAGACATAAGTTTTAAACAATTAGATATTTACTATGTTTTGTTAATTAATTATTTTGCTTTATTTGATATTATATTTTTCTATTTTGATGATCTGACGATTAAATTTAATCTGACAAGTTAAAAATCATATCCTACTATTAGGGTATTTTGGCTTGCACGCTACTAAAAGCTTCTTCCTTTTGGAAGCATAAAGAAGAATGCAATTAGAAAAATGAAACTATCGATAATTTTATTTTTTCAACCGTTTTTATTCGTCAGATCTGTATCAGAAACTATCTATTTCTGTATATTTTTTAATCTGATTTGATTTTGATCAGATCTAACGGTCAGAAAACTAATCTTACCGATAAGACAGTCTACCGGACACAGTCCCAAAGTCAGAAAAAGAAAATTTAAGATGCA